GTCTTCCCATTTACAGTATTCCGAAGGAATTCCTATTAGTGAAGGCTGTTTTCTGTCTGACGGAACCATAAAAAGTTCTCTGTTAAATGAATGTTTTCTGAACCCTCCAAAACAAAACGCTCAACTTACAATGTCAGAAAAGACTATAAAAACAAACGTAGCGTTTATTGTTATTACGGTTCGACGTAGCGCCGGAAAATAATTAACAGTTTTTATACTAGGTAATATACTTTTTTCTAGTCAAATCTCTACTTGTAAATTCAAAATAACTAAAAAAACATTTAGTAGGGTTACCTTTTCATTCGAACGTAGACCCGTAATCGTAAATTCATTAGTAGATTGTATACAAGTACAAATTGTATAATTTATGTATCTACCGATACGAATATATTTATAAACATAAATTAGCAAACAATATCACAATATCATTTAATTAAAAGTAGCTTCTATGTTTGCAAGTAATAACAAATATATCATAACATAGTGGAATCTGCGTGGGTACATAAATATACAGTTATGTTGCCTTAAGGTAGATTAAGGTTAACTATTTCCATTCGCAGTAATATATTTCCATAAACAAATGAAATATTGTGTCTATATGGTTTTGTATTAATGTCGGCGAGTCATATTTTCTAGTAAGTATCTATTTTTTTACTCTTTTTTTATGCTATTCGAAAAAATAAACAAGATAACGGCTTCTCTTATGAAAAGGGGCGACAGTCGCTTATATAAAGAGCGCCAAGAACATTTAAAAATAAACTGTGTCGTCCATGATTCTTTCCTTGCTCTCCTGAATATTAAGATGTTATACCTCCGTATTCTATAATTTCACTGTTATATCTATCAATCTGGTACACAGACACGCAAGCGCAACGCCAACGGCTTGACGCTAGAAACACCAATGCCATTGAAGTATCAATGCAAACTCTTAAAAAAAGTTTTATTTTAGTAATAGTGTACTTACTAATACAATTCTATAATTATTAAAAATCTCGTTTACAAATAGCAGCAGGATTTCTTTAGTAACTTCTTTCTTTTTCTTTCTTTTCTTTTTCTGCAAGTGATAAATATCTTACCTATACAAAACTGCGAGAGTGAATCTAATATAATTATATATTATATAATATAATAGTATATTTATAGAATGAATTTTCCAGTAAATATCATAGCTTTCATCACTGTTTCGAAGTATCAAGCACGAAGAGAAAAGAATAGAAAGACAAAATTTAGGGATGAAAGTTTGTAATAAAGCTGTAAATAAATAAATATATAGAAATCACCTAAAATAGTAAAAATAAAGTCATGAATACAAATGTTAGTACCGATATAAATTTTGCAAGTGTCAGTGGTCATTTCCTTCACATGATAATATTATTCTTACAAATTATGACGTACAAAGAAGTAGATCATTGTTTCGGAAAACAAATTAATACATTAGTGATAAGAGAAAAAATGTATGTACCGGAAACGAACCGGCAGTAATCAAAAAATGAGGCATCGCTGTACCACCAAAGTTGCCGCTTGATTTTATGATCCCACTAAGCATGAAAACTTTGTAGGCCATGTACAAAGTACTTTACAAAAACTTACCTACTCTACACTTTGCAACAACTTTTGCTTGAAGTGTATAATATGAAACTCATGGTGCTATAAATATATATATTTCGAAGTTATGTTGAAATTCATAAAGTATAATAAAGGTCACTGACCCTCTAGCTATATAACTCTCTGGCCAAGTAAATTGTATCTTTCCATTAAGAAACTGGACCCGTGTCCAGCAGTGAGGCATTAATGAGTGAAATATCTGATAGGAAAATTAAAATAAATAACATCGGATAATAAAATAGGTACTTTTTGAACACATGTTATAGAAAATAAAAACAACAGATATTTTATTGGTTTTATTTATTTGTATTTTTTCTTTCTTATTAGTTTAATAGATAAAATACATTAAAACGAATAGTTAAGAGTACTTATTTAAACAGAACATACACAAATGAAGTCGTGAGCAAATTTAAAATTAGCTATCGAAATTTAAGAAAAATCATTAGTCTTTAATGGTTATTTGACTAACCTTCCGAATGTTACGGGTTTGATATGTTTCTATTAGTTTGGATATTTTTTGTACACAATATATAAAAGTACAAAAAATATATATATTCATATTATATTTTCCTCTACAGATATACCTTATTCTATTCCCGACGACTATGGTGTTACGGAAGTACCGTACTTATTATTATCTAGTAATTTCACTGTCACATCTCAAACATTTATTTCTATAAATAACGGTATACACTAAAGGAAAATCCTCTTATACTGCGTTTCCACAAAACATAGATCATATTATAGATATATGTCATATGGCATTAAGCTCGCCATTTGTACAAAATTTTATTGTGCAATAAAGAATAAATAAATAAATATATAATGCGTAAATGTAGAAAGCATTTATAATTTTTTATGACCACATTTTCCATAAAAATTCATGTCGATGATTCATTATCAATAGTAAATAACACTATATTTTCAGTTCTTAACTTTAAATAATATGACATTAACAACCTGTATAATGTAACTCAATAGTAGACTCAATACTAACTTTACATCTTAAATAAAGTTCTAGATTCGATTATCGGTTGGTCCTATTTTAGACAGCAAGCTTTTAAAATCTATTCTAATTACAATGAAATTGTTTATTTTACCTTCCAAGTAGTCAATGAAGCCTAACTAAAATTGTGTGGCGTGATTTTATTGTGGCTTGTATTTATTAAAAAAATATTCCCTGATGCCGCTTCAAGATATTTAAATTCTAAGTAAAATGTCTTGCTATCCATTTATGTATATGTAGATTTCATCATTTTGTGTTGAGAAATATTAATATTCTTTTATGAAGAACGTAACAAAAAGCGTAGCCACAAAGAATATTGATATTTCAATAACAATAGCATCTAGTTACTGAAGGAGAAGCATGTAAAATCTTTACCTGTACTCCTACTGAAGAGGGTGTGAAGCATTCATAAATGTACACGTCAGTTGACGCGACCCAAACATCTTTTACTTTACTCTCAAGAGGCGAAGCTGCCCTTCACGTCATCCACTTTACTCCTTACCTTTCCGCCCTTTCCTTTTCTACCAGAAAATTGCCTTTACGTTCATATTTCTGAAAATATTGCTGTTGCAATAAAAGTTCAGTCTTACGTATTTACTGGCGTCCATTATTCAAAGTTGATTTTGATTGATACACTAGCGCATCTCATCTATATAATATATAAATACGAGTATACTTGTATACCTACACAATAAATGAACAGAACACACAACTGTATCTACCTACCATTCTATATTATGAAAATAAAATTTGGAATATGTCATCGTTGCCTGCGGTTATGAATAAAAATGTAAGGGAGGGCCGCGAGTGCGCGAACATTAAATCATTCTGAAAAGCCATTTGGACACAAAGGATATGGTCAATAAACAAACAAGACTCGACGTAAATAGCTACGATTGGAGGGAGGGAACTTATGCGTAGAATAATTTTATTTGGCGCTCTTTGCTGGTACATATTCTAAAGAAACCATCCGAAACCATACCGTTATCTCTAAAGCGCGTCCGAAATCTGAAATACTTCGTTGAGTACACCCACCTTCCTAATGCACCGACTAATAAACTGGTCACGTCAACGTTATTTATTGTTATAGCAACAACAAACAACAAGAAATCTACGTCTGTACTTTTATACCTATATTTTCTTCAACTCTATTTGAAAACAGAATACTCTGTGCAGAATAAATTCATAAAAAGATACAATAGATATATTTTTTATTAACTAATTACTTCTAATCATAGAAATAATCAGTTTGTAAAAAATATTTTAGAAAGACGACAAATTGGGGCTAGCCAGTTTTCTACTTCTGTGAAAGACACAAAATTATTTTAGTTACTAGTACAGACGGCAAAAAAAATAAAAATCGGTCAGTTATTATTATTAATACTACAATTAGTAATTACTAATTAATTATAAATAATTTTAGGCCATAATTGTTGTTAAAAACTAGATCGCACAAATAAGTTTGTTTTTGGGTGTATTTAATAATTTCTTATACGGTACCAATTAGAAACATTGTCTTATTTTTCCTGTAATTTTTATACCTTAATAATTACAATTTTTTAATTGTAATTATTTAATATTTTTTGCTTCATAAACTTCGAAGTAGTAGGGGGATAAACTATGTAACATAAAAATAAATAAAAATCAGTTTAAACATGTACAAATGAAGCCCTTTTCTTATAATACTCACTACTTGGACTAGACGCAGCTTTTTCAATTTTCGAACCCGCTTATGTTGAAGATCATATTTTTGATTAGAGTTCAGTACCAAAAGTTCAAAAGAATCAATATTGTGTGACAATGTTCGTCCATATATATATATATATATATATATATATATATATATATATATATATATATATATATATATATATATATATATATATATATATGGGCCAATAGTATATAAAACTATTTTAAATTTTAAATCCATAGCATAAGATTTTAATTAATTAATAATAATTTTATAACTGCTAAGATTTTGCGCTATGACAGACAGATGGACGAACATTGTCACACAATATTGGTTCTTTTGAACTTTTGGTACTGAACCCTAATCAAAAATATCATCTTAAACATAAGCGTTTACACGAGACATATAAAACAGTTATACTGTTATTAATAAATGAAAAGCTATTGAATCATGTAATTTAAAACACTTAAAAACTTCTTAGAGCTTGTACTAAATTCAATTCACGAAACTAAGCCTGAACAGAACTTTAATTTGCTAACGTTACTTTTCCATTTGGAATGATAAATGATATTTGTGTTTGAGAAACTTAGTTGAAGTCAGGAAAATAATGTTTGTGAACGCTAGAGGAAGGTTATTCTTAGTCCAGATATTGAACATAGTGAATTGTTTGTTTCATGTAATTGTAATATTATTTGAAATTGTGTCAATGTGAAGATGCTCGCTAGTGTGCAAGGCAGCTGCCGCGGGAACAGTTGGAGCTGGCTCGTCCGACCGCCCTTCGGTCCGGTAAATACAGCCTCCTCGCCTCTCGGGTATGGATTATTCGCAACGAGCGACGAGCGGAACCAGTGCGACCCACGCGCTCCCCGTGGCAACTCGTCGGTAGGCTGCGCGCCTCGTAGTTGTGTCCTCGTAGCTCGTAGCGCCCACGTTGCTCGCTGCCGTAGAGCGGGCCGCGCGCTAACTCGCTTAAAGCTCGCGAGCGTTCACGTAATAACATTTTAACCCATAACGCAAGGCTCGCATTTAGCAACGCTCTGAAAGCATGTCATTAATACAGCCTCTATTGTGTTCAAATGACGAGACTAATGTCATATTAAAATATCATGGAAAGCACCTGTGGAACCATTAATTTCTGTGTAATTTTCACGTGATACTTTATTACTTTTGCCAACTAAGTAAGTATTTAGCTATTAAATAAATAAATATTGACATAAACTTTATAACTTTTTTTTAATTAACATAGCTAAAACTTGTAATGTAATAGTACTAATAGTTTTTTAAGTAACAACCAAACTTATTGTGTATAACTATTTGTCAAATTTATAACAACAGGTTCACATGTTGAATAATATATCTACTTCTTTTCTATTCAAAGCGATGAGCCATTTTAACAGGTAATTTGAAAGTGATTAAATGAGGAAAAATAATTGAATACCTTTTTTAATTAACTCCATCCTGTAATTTGTAAATGTCGTTTGATAAAACCAACCAACTCCAAATAAAAATAGAAGACAGCAATATCAACTAGTTTACTTAATTGAGTCCATATAATATGTTTTTTTAAAACTAGCACATATAAACAATAAACGCAACTAATTACTCTGTTTACATAAATTTATTATTTATTAAGATTTCTAATTAAGAAATATAAATATATGTCCTTTAAATTTTTAATGCAGCTTTAGAAAACTATAGAGTGTTTGAGAATATTATAAATTGAACACAATTGTGTTTTACCGCTTTTTGCTCAAGTTTATAGAGTAGGTATATTTAATGATACTTCCCCTCCATTCACTAGGATCCATTTGGGTTGCCACTTAGGGGCCTATTATCGAAGCGAGGCTCTCATAATTTGGGATATGTCATCGGCAATAATAATTAGATACCCTTACCGATATCATAAAATATGAATATTTGAGCAAGTCAGCACATTCTATAGAATTACTATGGTGGTAATTATTTGATATGGTAGTAACTATTCCAATATTTTAATTATGGTTATCTAAAAGGGTTATAAAAAATTCCAAAAACAAGAGCAAAATTTGTGTTTAGTTCTAATTGAGATGATTGACGTACTGACAAAATCCAATTACTGCGCAGATAATTAAAGAACATTGTTTAGCGTAAATGAGTTTCCGGGTTCGATTTTTAGCCGGACCAGTTTAGGAAACAAGATTTCCTGATTGATACGGGTCTTTATACTGTATTTGATGATCATTGTTTACTTTTTTTACAACATAGCGTACGAATATTCCAGCTTGAGTGGTCCTCAAGCTTGAATATTCTTGGAATGCTTGGAATCATTTATTATTATTGCAATTAATAATCTGATAAATATAATATATAATATCTAAATTGTATCAATAATTATAATTAGCAAATATTACTAAACTTATTTTAATTTCATAATTAATTTATATATAAAAAACAATTAATTTTCTTTTGTTAAAAAATATTAAAATTAAACAAAACAATATTTGTTATAATTAAAAAAGTAAAATATACTCTTTTATAATCTAACACCTGTATCAGTATTTTTTGAAACAACACACCTGTGTTTAATAAGAATATAAGTACGTTACCTTTGTTTTATTACAATGTTTTGATAATTAATTATCTGTATTAACGAACCAAAATTACAAATTTATCTCTGGACTCCTATAAGATCTAACATTGAAACCGAAACTAAGTTGGTTCTATTATATATAAAATGCTATTTTACAATCCATATAAATTTAATGTTGATAGATTAAAGTTTTCAATTCCCTTAAATTCCGCTTGCGACGGAATAAGAATACAAAGTGTCACTACATACTTATTCTTTTTCTTACAGTTAAAAATGACTACCTATAGTGAAACTAAATATAATAAACCGGCGATAGAGAAGGAAAAATGGAAATAATGCCCCGTACTAAGCTGCCTGACTAGAATAGTAATAGTGGGCTATTATCGTCCTGTTATGAGTAGGTACCTATACATAGCAGTGGGATATTAATGACTTCTTATAATGACGATGATAAATTCTGTTATTAAAATTATGATTTGTGTATAATAGCAATAATATTAATATATAACATAAACATTTTTTACTAGTTTTTATCTGCGACTTCGTCCGCGTGACCGGGATAAAAGTAGCCTATGTCCTTCTCTATCCCACATAGTACATGTAAGTATATCAAATTGCATAGTGATTGGTTAAGCTGTAAAGTCGTCAAGAGGTAACAAACAAGTACACTTTCACATTTATCATATTAATAAGCATAACAATAAACTCGTAACGTATTAAAGTAATAAAATGAATATTCAAAAATATAAAAATGATCAGCTCTATGCCTTTCATACTTATAGTAACTGCAGCATTACTGCAGGAAAGGAATAGCGGAATGTTGGTATAGGTACATTTCTATATATAATCGAGCACATTTCAACTGCAGTTTCCTGAATTTATACGGGAATACTATATATACAGTAAGGAAAATTTAATTATATAGTTTCAGAAGAAATACGATTGCAGTCTTGGAACACACAACTACATACAGAAATTAATAAATTAAAAGTAAATAAAATTAAGGTAATAAGTTACGAGTAAACACTTTATACAGTACTAGCCAAGTGAAACAGAGTGCAGTTTTAGTTCTATGAACAAAAATGTATAAACTGTTTAAATAGATAATAGATACAGCTTGTGTCTAGTGACAAATGATGAAAAATATTTTATTCTTCTTACTTACAATTATTTGAGACTTTGAGCCAAATACCCGCTGATTACATCAGTAGATGTAGTATCGGATTCGAGAACGCGTACAACTAGACCAAATGACAAATTATATGTACCAAAGTGTAGGTTAGATTTACATAAAAGAAATGCATACTGTACGGCTATTAAAGTTTACAACCATCTACCAAATTACATTAGAGAAATAACAGCTCATACAGTGCTTAAACGTAAATTTAAGAATTGGCTGTTATGTAATGGTTTTTATACTGTTAATAAATATTACACTAAAAGAACAAACGTACTTGACAATCTATGCTAGAAATGCAATTGGTGCTTTTGCTCTTACACACTAATTAATAGGCCCTCATAGTTTGTTAAAATAATTTATTAATTTCGACAACTCATGTACAGGCTGTTATTTTCTGTTTACTGTAATAAATTATATATGTATTATATGACTAATGAAAGGAAATATAATGTAGAATATGTATAAATTTCTCATATTGTTAAAAAATTTGCACGCCGACATAGAGGTAGAATATATACGGGAAACGTAAATCTCTTTCATCAAAAATTACCTACATTCTAGCAAAATAAATTCATTTCATTTCATAACTGTCGTATGAAAATAAAAAATACACAATCATCGTCACTATATCAATCATAATTGTCCATTGCCTACATTAAATATGATCACGAGCTATATTTATTCATTATAAACTCGCTTTCATTCTTGGTATTCACATACTTTGATGACATATTACATACAACGGTTTACGGTTTAACACGAAAGAGTTAAACTTGCAATAAACGTTGTAAGTTGAACTCTTTCATGTTAAACCTTTTTGAGTTCATACTACAATATGCGTGTTTAATATCTGTTTATCTTTAAATATAGAAATAATAAGTGTATAATGTAACAAATTTTATTGTAATTTAGCACATAAAATTACAACTAAATATTATTACCGACTAAACAATGTTCAATCACTACACAGGGTTGATTGTTCAGATAGGCAGTGTTTTAAATTACTCGTATATTTGTAGAACAAACAACCGTTACAATCAAATAGCTCAATTTAGCCTCGATATTACTTACGATAAAACTTATTAATAACAAATATTTACTTACGATAATATTACAAAGCAATAAAAAATTATTACATATATATAAAATTTGCTTCGTAGAAAGTTAACCCCTTTCATATTCGTCACAATATATTTGCCTCTTATGAATTAAAGTTTTGTTCGAAAAAATCAAACAATGGAATTTCTTACCTGTTTTTCTCGACTGAGGCTACTTTCTGAATTAGTCTGTAGATAAAAAATAAATAAATGAAAAAAAAAAACAATCTTTTAGGTATCACAAGAACAAAAAAAAAAAATCAAATTCAAATTCTCCAAGAATTTCCTTTCTCTAAAACTTCGCGAACAGAATTTTTTTTATACAAAACTGCAAAAAAATATTCCATCTGGCAACACTGGAATCAATCATACTAATATCATAAGTGTGCAAGTTTATAGAGATGAATAAATGTTTGTTACTCAATAATGCTTAATAGAATAAAATATAATATTTTATTAGCTCTGAATAGTTTAAATAGACAACGATTCTGAATGACATGGGATGGATTCGGATGATAATTGAAATTAGACACGTGGGAACTTGATTTCGGCAGATATGTTGATTACCTTTCATTCTAATTCAACCGAACAAACTTTAGCAATAAGGTGACCAACTATACACATTAACTGAGTTTTTTACTCTTTTTTCGCAAACCATACTCTTTTCAAACCTGTACTCTAAAAGTACTCATTTGTATAATTTTATACTCATTTGTATTTCTAAAATACTTTTTAGATTATTTTATTTCAATCTTATTAATTAAATATTTAAAATTATTATGACAGTGATTTGAATTTTATTAGAATTTCAGTAGAACATATCCCACATGAAAATTTAAAAGTTTTAATAAAAATTTCCTTATGTTGTCTAGGCACTAATGTTGCTGTTGAAAGTATTTTCACTAGGGAATGATTATTAGAGCAGTGATAAATCGCAACTTTCTGTAAAAACATTATCTGCCGTTTTAACAGACCAATTTAATATGCAAAATGAAAGTTGTTCGGATGTGGCTACATTATTAGACAAACATCCTCATTTATCAAAAAAAATCCACTTCGAAGAAAAACAGGTTTTTAAAAGAAAATAGTTTTAATCGTTTTTTCTTCTTTTTTCTCGCCTATGAAATATACACATCAAAAAAGTCTAAGCAACACATACAAATTTCAATTTTACAATGTGTTTTCGCATCAAATCCTTAGTATTTTCTTATTTATATTATTTAATGTTTTTTTGATATAAAACAACAATTTTTTTTAATCTTCATTAACAATAATTACGAGTAAGTACTATATATACGTAATACAAAGTAAGGTGCCTAATCAACTAAACTT